GGACATATAGACAAGAACAGGGACATATAGGTACAGGAAGTAAACAAGGGGACAATATAGACAAGAAAACAGGCGACAATATAGACAAGAAACAGGGACATATAGACAAGAACAGGGACAATATAGACAAGAACAGGGACAATACAGCGGACCCCCGTTAACAAGATAGTTTTTTCAACTCAAGAACATGTTCAGTTGCCAGTAACATGACGAATTTGTCCCATAAGGAATATGTGAAGTAGGATTATCATTTCAGACCCCAGAAACAGTAATAGACAAAACGCACTTACAAAAACAGTTACATATTGGTAGCGGCATATACAGAAAGGTAATTTATGCGGGTACCACTGTAAATAAGAAAACAGGGACAATATAGACAAGAACAGGACAATGTAGGCAAGAAACATGGACAACATAGACAAGAACAGGGACAAATAGACAAGAACAGGGAAAAAAAACAGACAATAGACAAGAACAGGACAATATAGGTAAGAACAGGGACAACATAGACAAGAACAGGGACAACATAGACAAGAACAGGGACAACATAGACAAGAACAGGGACAACATAGACAAGAACAGGGACAACATAGACAAGAACAGGGACAACATAGACAAGAACAGGGACAACATAGACAAGAACAGGGACAACATAGACAAGAACAGGAACAACATAGACAAGAACAGGACAACATAGACAAGAACAGGGACAACATAGACAAGAACAGGGACAACATACACAAGAACAGGGACAGCATAGACAAGAACAGGGACAACATACACAAGAACAGGGACAGCATAGACAAGAACAGGGACAACATACACAAGAACAGGGACAACATAAGGTGAAAGAATCGTTCAACATAATTACCTCTTTGCAGAGTATATACCTGACAATACATAGAATCTTAACCCTTTGACTGTTTCGGCCGTATATATACGTCTTATGAGCCAGCATTTCCACCGTATATATACGTCTTATGAGCCAGCGTTTCGGACGTATATATGTGTACTCCATAATTCTAGCAGCTTCAAACCAAGCAGGAGAAAGCTTTTAGGCCCACATGTGAGACAATGGGTCTGTGTGGTCAGTGTGCACTGTATAAAAAAAATCCTGCAGCACGCAGTGCACGAGAAAAAAAAAACTCTGACCTTGTTTTTGGATTAAAATGCCGACTTTGAGGTGTACTTTCGTATAGTATTTATGGTTGTATTCTCGTTTTCTTGGTCTCATTTGATATAATGGAAAATGTATTACAGAAATAGATATGATTTTGATTAGTTTCATGATGAAAATGACCATGAAATTGAGCTCAAAGTAGTGGAAATGTTTGATTTTTACCAATATTCAGGAGTAAGCAAATCACACCACACGTCCAATACATGTCAACTGGGGAGTCTAATATTCTTTCAATAGTGCACCGATATTATTTATACCATTTTTACAATAATGCAGTAGTCTGCATAACAGTAAATCTTCTATTTTTTTGTGTGAATAAAAAATCAAAATAGAAAGCAAGAGTAATATAAGAGGGGCCTGGAGACATGACTAATGAACAGAGGATATGTTATTTTGGTGCTACGAATGTCTACATTGTTTATTCTGGACCCTATTTTGAAATTGGCATCTTTTTTAATTTGCGTGAAATTGGCTAAATTGCCAATTTCTGACCACTTTATTGGGTAGTTGAAATTGGTAAATGGGCAGTTTCTTGTACTCAATTGATAGAAAAAATGGAGTTCTAAAGAAATAGCTATGAGTTTGGTGGACTGGAACAGTGGAATTGGCCGAAAATAGGGCTCAGAGTCAGCGAAATTGCCGATGTGTATATATCGCCGAGATCGCTAACTTCGTGGGAGCGTAATTCCATATGTTTTCCATCAAATTTCATACTTTTGGTGTTATTACCATCAGGAAAAGATTCTCTGTCATTTCATAAAAAAAATTATTTCCAAAAAATTTTTCGACATAGAATGACAGTTGCAGAAATGGGCTTGCGACAGTCAAAGGGTTAAAGAATGCAAAGTTCTTACCAGAGAATACATAGAATCTTAAAGATCAAAAAGGCACAATATTGTGACTGGAACAATACTCAAATAACCCACATATAGGAGAAAGAAGCTTATGATGATGTTTTGGTCGTCATAAGTTTCTCTTTCCTGTGTGCATGTTATTTGTGTACACAGAACCTTCAAGGGTGATGTGGTTATCCTTACTGAATATTAGAGTAGCAATGTAACAAGTTACCCAGGTTTTACTGAATTATGAAAAAATTGGGATTGTTCATTGCCAGTTTGGCAAAGTCAGAGATTAGAATCAGGAGTTAGTAAATTTATTTAGGTACAGGTGCACATAAATACAGTTACACAAATTATCATACATAGTACCAAATGTGTAAATTACCCACCAGGATAACCCAAAAAAAGTCAAACATAGTGACTTATTTCTAAATAACAATAAGGCACAATATTGTGACTGGAGCTATACACAAATAACTCACACATAGGAAAGGGGGAAAGCTTACAATGACATTTTGGTCCAACTTGACCATTTACAAAGTCACACTATTGGGGTCCTTGAAATCTGTGAGCCTCTGCTACAATTTGCAAACATAGAATGGTGAGCCTCCAGTACTATGTTGGCTTTTTTACAGTGCCAGTACTGGAGGACTCGATTTCTCCCATATGCTGAGGGCCAAAGGACTCCAAATACTGAGAAACTAGTGTATGCAGGCATTGTACCTACAGTAAGTCATCCAGATATGAAGGTGATCTTCCTTGAGCTCCAGCGAATCCAGACACCACAAGTATTATTAATACTGACAGTGTTAAATACTGTCACTATAATCATTTTCAGATCTGGGCTATACACAAATAACCAGCACAAACATTTTGGTCCAAGTGGTTTATAAGAAGTAATGAGCATTACAATTACTGTGAGAGATGTAGAGAGTGAGAAAGACACCCTGAGAGATACAGTGAGACAGGCACAGAGACAGATACAGTGAGACACAAAGACAATTTAGGGGGTGTAGGTAAATAATATACGATAGGTAGATCAATGTGAAAGGGTTTAATAGTAGAAGTCTTAAAACAATTAAAGTATATTAGGCTTTCAGACTTATATACCAATAATATATTATATATTGCTTCTGGTATAGAAGTCTATTTGGTACTATGTAGCAATCACAAGTGAAATTTTGACCCAAACAGTATTTCTTTTAAATTAGTTGGATGGCCATAACTGGCAGTTGCATATACAGTGGTCCCTCGCTTTTCGTAGTTCTCGGCAATCGTAAATTTCGCCAATCATAGGGGTATTTTCATGTAAACATGGACTCGCTTTTCATAGGTTGACTCGCGAATAGTAGTTCGTCCGGGATGCGTACGCACGGTGTGAGCCGGGGAGGCCTCCCTACCCAACCAGTCTGGCATTGTTTACCAGTGAGTGAAGGTCCCCTCAAGTGCTCCTACGAAATATTTCATAATATTCCACTCATTTTAGTGCTTGCAAGTACTAAATAAGCTACCATGGCTCCAAAGAAAGCTCCTAGTGCCAAGCCTGTGGTAAAGAAGGTGAGAAATATGTACAGTGACAAAGTCTTGGGCCATTTTAGGGAAGTGTTAAAGAGACGCCAGAAACAGAGCTCTCTCCACAGTTACTTTGCGAGACAGGACTAGAGTGGCTCTCAAGGTGGTCCTAGTGGCATTAAGAAACAGAGAAGAGAAGCAACCCCAGAGAAGCAATTGGTACCTGAGGTGTTGCTGGAAGGGGATTCCCCTTCCAAACTATAAGCAATCCAATCTCTCTCCTCCTCCAGTCTCCCATACACTAAGAAGAATCTCCAATAAAGGTAAGTGTTATGCTGTTAATGTTTCATTCATCATTTCCCATTGTATTGTTTATGTACTACATGTATATTTCATGTAAAATTTTTTTTTGTTTTAATACTTCTGGGTGTCAGGAACGGATTAATTGTATTTACATTATTTCTTATGGGGAAAATTGATTTGCAAATCGTAAATTTCGTTTATAGTAGCTCCTCCAGGAACGGATTAATTACGAAAAACGAGGGACCACTGTATTTCATATACAGTGGACCCCCGCTTAACGATCACCTCCCAATGCGACCAATTATGTAAGTGTATTTATTTAAGTGCGTTTGTACGTGTATGTTTGGGGGTCTGAAATGGACTAATCTACTTCACAATATTCCTTATGGGAACAAATTTGGTCAGTACTCGCACCTGAACATACTTCTGGAATGAAAAAATATCATTATCTGGGGGTCCACTATATAATCATATTTCAAGAGAACTTGTTTTTATGTTTATCCACATCTGGTATAAACCTCAGTAATTGATACTGACAAATTGGTTTAAAAAAGACACTTGTGGACACACTATGACATATTTATTAAAAAATGTTAGAGGTGATCAAGTTCCTAGGATCACAATGTTTTCTAATAAATATGTCCTAGAGTTTGCTCACCTGTCTTTTTAAACCAATCCCCATCTGGTCATTTTTGCAAGCTATATTTTAATGTGAATTTGTTGAGGGGGAAAAAATTGCATAAAAAAAAAAACCATGGTATGTGTGGGGTTAGAACTCACGGCAAGTGAGTGGTAAAACTCCAGGCTAGTGCGTAAGCCACTGGTCCAGCTGGACCAATGGCTTATGCACCCTTACTATGGTTATTTTGCTCAATTTTTTTTTTCCATCAACAAATTCACATTAAAATATAGCTTGCAAAAATGGCCAGATGGATTGCCATGAGTTCTGACCCCACCCATACCATAGTTGTTTACAATCGTGTTATTACAATTTCATGAGTCATGAAAACATTGCATAATTTGACTAGAACATTGAAGCTATAGTGTACAGATTCCTAAGAGTTTCCCCTGTGTATAAAGTTCCATGTTTGGTATTGTTGAGTGATGATTGTGTAGTCTTGTGTCTTACTGTGTTTGCTTGATTTCTTCCTTCATTGCTTCCCAAGACCCAAAGAAAAGGAGAGTGACAAAGGGAAGGAGGATGAGGAGATTAAAGAGGAAGAAGAAGATATTAGTGAGAGAGAGAGGTTTTTGTATGGATTTCGAAGTGAAAATAAAATGTAAGTAACTGGTTAAATTAATCTAAGCAGCAGTGGTACTTGTGTAGAATTTGTATTGCCTAGTAGATGACAAAATATTATTCCTACATGAAATGTTATTCCTGTATAAGCAGTTCACTACAGGACAAATCAAACAAAAGTATGTAAAATTTTCACACCTGGTTTTGTGCTTTTATTAAAGAATTTGTTCATCTATTAAATTTTTATTGTTCAAAAATATAGAAACTAAATTTTTTTTTAGAAGCCCAGACACTGTACCTATCATTCTTATCAGATTATAATATTACATAAAACCAACACACATACATATATACACACATAAATACGTATACACATATATAGCCCATTGCAAGATCTTATAAGATTATTGTCTATAACTTTGTAAAAGACGCTTTGAAGATCAGCATTGAAGGGTAATTAGTGTGCTACAGTATGATATTGGCCTAAGTTGTAGTCACGTGAGGGTATGTTATGGTAAGTCTGTTATAGCTTTTGAGGAAATCATAATTATGAAGCTATCATTGAAATATATTTACATGCAAAAGCTTTGTTTAATGTCCAGACCCATACTGACTCGGTGACTCTGTGACTGAACATTTACTCCAACACATTTTCTTCCCGATCCTTATGTATCACATAATTATGGCTCAAGCTTCCTAGCACAAGTAACATTGTTGGGTTTAAAGCCTATTAACTGCATGAGGATCATTAAGACTGTATTTCATGTGTATGGAACCAGTCAAGAATACTTTAATTTTTGGGTGAAAAAATAGTTTACAAACCTAACAAGTTGATAAATGAGACACTTGTGCAACATTTGGCTGTCTTTATCCTGGAAAAGCTTTTGCCGGCCAGTGGCTTCTTCAGTCCATCAATCTTAATGAACTGAACAAATTGACCCCAGGCTGAGGGACTGATTACCTCAAATTCCTCATCTTCCACCTTTCTTTGCATTAGACTGAAGAAACCACTAGTTGGCAAAACATTTCCAGAATGTTGCACAAGTGTCTCATTTATCAACTTGTATTCTTGAAACAGGAATTAAAGTAAAAATTCCATGTTCATACCAGGGATATACACCTCTAGTGCATATATCATGTGAACTTAGTGTGCAATACTGTCTGTTCCTTACATGTCACATGATCAGAGATATATAAAAAATGGTTATAACTCTAACCATAATTTTTAAAGGGGTGAGCTGGTAAGCCAGCAGAAGGCCTCGGTCAGATGACCAAAAGCTCCAACAGCAGGTCGTCATATGACTAAGACCCGTGTCAGGAAACACTTGTCCTGTTTCCTGACGAACCTTACCTAACCTAACCACGATCAGGGAGTTGGCTTCTAGTATTAGGACAAGGCAAAATATTATGTGTGTATATTTTTTATCTCCCCGGTCACCCTGGAAATTACCTCTTTCTTGAGTAGGCTTGTCATCCCATGTACTTATTAAACTACTGGTATTTATTTAATGAGATATCTTTTAGATACAGTATGCTGTAAATCCTCTTACAATGCACCTTTATATTGCATGATCTGGCTGCAATGGGATTCAGAAAGTTTGACTAAAAAAATTTGATAGCTCGTAAAGCATTAAAGAACTGGCTAATGTGAAATCTAGGTACTAATGCCATAGAATTTTTCCCATCCATGCCATCCACAGTTTTCTTGGAGCATCTTGAGCCTCACTCACTCTGTGTTTATCAAACACTTTTGGAAATTTTTGTCATGCCATCTTAATATTAACCATGGTGCCCAAGAAAACTACTAGCGATGCTGGAGGTGCCATGAATAACATGGTTCAGACCTTGTTTTTTTATCGACAGTGATGATGTACCTGGCAGGAAAGACCCTTGAGTTCAAAGTTCTCCTTATTCTTGATAATCTTCATATTCCTCCTGTAATCTTAAGAGTTTCGAAACCGAAATGTGAAAGTTATATTTTTACCACTCATTATAAGAACATACGATCAAACCACTGTACAAAGCATGGCAGCAGGCCTACTGGCTCATGCTAAAACAGTTTTGATATGACCACGGTATCAAGGAGCAATCAAGACATTTAAGTGCCACTCCACACATTCAGATAATGCACAAAACTCATTATGCTAATCAGTGATAACCAAAATGCGCATGTCAAATTTCTGGTGCAAATTTAATTATTGTAGATGCACTTACACAGAAAAGTGCTTTGAGATGAAGTACCAAAATGAACCAACAAATGCAGGTTGGAGTTAGAGCTTTCTGTGGTGAAAATTTTCTCTGCTTTTTTCCTAAGGAGTCAAGAAATTGTGACTCACAAAATCATAATAAGATGATTAGAACCCATGGCAAGTGAGTCATAAGACTCCAGGCCAGTGCGTAAACTCTTTCCAGGACTGTGAGAGCTAAGGGCTTTGAAAAGATGCAAGAGAGGATGTAACTGCAGAAGATGTAAAGTAAAAGGACACAAGTGCAACTAATGTGACATTTATTGTGGCAACGTTTCGCTCTCCAGGAGCTTTATCAAGCCATTACAATGGCTTGATAAAGCTCCTGGAGAGCGAAACGTTGCCACAATAAATGTCACATTAGTTGCACTTGTGTCCTTTTACTTTACATATTGTCGGTAATTCTACCAACTTTATTACAACTGCAGAAGACTTGCTGGAGGATCTCAACTCCCAGTTAAGAGAGAAGCAAATAAAAAAAAAAAGGATAAAAAAAAAAGAGCCTAAAGATAAGGTTGTACAGGAGTATTTGGTTTCCTCTTTTTGGTGCTCCACATTTTTATTGGCTTTCAATAGAGCTATTGTTCATTATGTGTGGTACTTCTACTGCTTTTCTGCTGATTCTACACAGCAGTTGCATAAGGGAAGGGCAACCAGCACCACATTTTAAGGTAAAGATTGTATGTACTGTGTATTGATTTTAATTTTTTATCTTTTTTTTAGACCTAGGTGTAGTGAGCACTTAATATATCATAGTGTAAACATGTTATCAGGAATTGTAGATGCATTCGATAATGAAAAAATGGTCTTTACCACCTGCTAGCGATTTTTGCTTATTGTTTGGGGTCAGGAACCTAAGAATCATACAAACGGGGCTCTCTTGTACTGCAAAACTTACACAAGCAATTTCATATTGGGAAAGTTGCAGACTTTCTAATTGAAAATTATCCTGACACATACAGAAGCATTTGGCTGAAGAGGATTCTGAAACAAGCACTGATGCCTTATTGTCAACTGTATAAAGTTGCAGACTCTTTAACTGAAAATTATCCTGACACATCCAGAAGCATTTAGCTGAAGAGGATTCTGAAGCAAGCAATGATGCCTTATTGTCAGCCGTATAAATTACTGGAGAATAAAACAGACCAGGGACACATTACAAAATACATAAGCAGTCTTATACAGTCATCAAATACAGTCCTTTCAACTGTATATCCACATTAATGCAAGTACCACAACCATCTGCCTCAGCTCAGTAGGTCCACATCCCGCACTAACATTTCAAAAATGCACTACTGTACCAGAATGTAAGGTAAGTTATATTGTACTAAATTTTGCATAGGACCATAGTAAAAATTGTCAAATTTGGAGGTGATGAGAACATAATCCTACTTTTTCCATATGTTCTTCACTTTGTATGGTGCTGTATTATGTAACATGGGATTTTTCAGGAATATATCCCATGTGTTATGAGAAGGTTTACTATAGTGAAATTCCCAGACATGAATGCACTATTTCAGTTTTTCCCATATGCCAGTACATGTATGTGTTGATTAGTTTGCATACCACATTTGATGTCTTTGCCTGTTCTTTTAGTACTGTATCATGTTAAGATCCTGATATTTGATCTAATTGTCTGGGCAAAATGACATTGGTCCCAATAAACATGTGTCCATCTTTGATAGTATGTGTAATTGGATGTTCTTTCTCTGAGGATACTCTTCCCTTGAAGCCATCAAGGGGGAGTAATGTTGGTGAAGGGCTCCTGTCCCCTCCTCAAATCTAACCAGATTATCTCCCATTACCCAGGCACTGTTTGACCCCTACAGGTTTAGCACTTCCCTGTGAATACAAAACTGATCCTCCTCCCTTAACAGTATCTTCAAGAATCTTAGACAGTTGAGCCTCCTTTGAGTGTTAAAGACTTTTGTAACATTGTATTATGTAGTGGAGCTTTTTGTATAAATGTATAAATATTTGTTGGTAAAATAGCTTTAGAATTAATAACTATTATTTTTGTAAAATAATTAATTATACTATACAGTAGACTAATTTGCTTAATCTTTCTAAGAGTGACATGTGATTTCCACATAATTTAAACTCCTGGATAACACTGGTCAGTAGTGAAAGTAGTATCTTAGAGCAGTGGACTTACTGCTTCTCATATAGCAAATGGGGGTTACTCTTTTTCATGAAATAATTGCTTTTGTTTTTTTGGCTTCAATTTTATTGTAGTGCCACTTACTGCTTAGTTCCACATTGTACTTATTTCTTTAAATCAATATTTTTACCTTTTTTTCTTCTATTTTCCAGTTATTTAATTCTGGGTTGCCATTTTTCATCCTGTGTAATTGTGTAGGTGATGATTGTTCTACCACTGTACAGCAGTTTTGATTCTCTGGGTAATTCAGTGGTTACCATTTCATATATGAAATAGCCAGCTCAGCATATGTGATCTTAGCACTATTTCAAGCGCTTGTTAAATAAAAAAACTCATTACATAAAGAAAGTGGTTACAAATCACTCAGTTTCAATATCTCATGTAATTATCTTAACAGAAATGTAAACTAACCATACCATGGGCAGGGATAGAACCCATGATCAGAGAGTCATAAAACTCCAGACTGATGCGCTAGCCACTGGGCCAGCTGACTACAATAAGTTTCGTCCAACTAGGTATATTTATACACCATAGGAAGGTTAGCATAGGCACCACTGTGGCCACAAATGCAAGTTTTTACAGACGAATCTCCCGCCAGCGTGGCCGTGACTAGCTCTAGCTCAAGTCCCCTCA